GATGTGTCATGGCCCTTTCTGGCCGCCGACATAAAATCAAACTGCGCGGTAATGGTGGTCGCTGTGTGTTGTATGGCGCAACGGAAAAAGGCATCTAAATGTGTTGCAGAGAAAAGACAGCGATGTTGCCGACGCTTCTCCTGTGCTATCACAGCACGATTAACAACTTCCTGTTTCAGCGATCGATAGCAAGCCGGCGAGATCACATCAATTGAAAAGAAGAAGTTGTTATCCACTTGAGAGCTGTTATGGATTCGAACTGCTTCCAGTAAGTCAGCTATCTGGGCCCCATCCATCGCGGATGAGACTATGATGATCAATGTTGGACGTATCTCCCCATGAAGACTGGAAGCGCTGCCAATTCTGATCCAACTGGTCACACGCGACGCTACTTCTGTTAAGCTTGGGAAGTCTTCTGCGAATAAACATACAACATCACAGAATAAGAAAAGCAATCTTGCATATAGAATGTCAGCGAGAGCATAACTCCCTGGATCCCAGGAAATCAGAGATGGTTTGGTATCATGGCAAAAAGCTTGACTGGCACTGTTGTTTGGTCGACAGAATGGATTGCTATCAGCGAAAAGAAGTGGGGTGTCACTGCCAGCAGTTTCAGTTTCTAGCCGTAAGCAGATGTCCTCAGCCTGACGCCGGCGACTGATGTTATTGTTTGGGAATAGCTGTTTTAGAGCTTTGCTTTTTTCCTGGTTGCCGATGAAATGCATGAGGCGGGGGTACTGTTCATTGGCCCTGGTCATTTCCTGGATGACACGACCCATCCTACCTGTGTCTTCCAACACATTTTTATCCCTCGTGGTTGCTTGCAACCATGCTAAATGACCACATGCGCGCATTATGTCTGCTAGATCTGTAGTGTTGATGTTCAATGGGAGGCATTTAGATTTATATATTCTAGGTGCTGTCACAGGTATGAACAAAGGATCATTTTAATCTTATCTTGTTCTTTCGAAGTGCATTTATGTCGAATGGCTCTTTTGAAATGTGAGAACCAATAGAAAATGAAGTACGAATCCTCCTTGCCTTACAGACCTGCGCAAAAGCTAACAAAATGCCCTCAACCAAGGCAGATCGCGCGGAATTTGTTACCAAAGCAGCACACTATCGAGGTCGGGCGAAGATTAAACTTGAATGTTTGAGGTTTGAGGACAGTGGCACGCCGGGTGCGCGCTCCGTGGATCCTAAGCATACTGCCCACCTTGTAAATGTATTTAAGCAAGAGGGGTGGAAGCGGCTTCAGCCCGAAAACTACATTCCTGCAGTTGTGTCGCATGAAGACCTGGCAAATGCTCTCCAGCTGTCGGAAATAAGCCAGGGAGATCTGTTGCAAGATGGTGAACCGCACACTCTTGAATTGCCACTTGGAGTCAGTATCACTGTCATTCATGGCAAGCATCGCCTTTTGGCGGCAAAGCAGTTTGCGGTAGACAAGTTCTTGCTGGAATCAGAGCAGTGGTGGGTAGTGAAACTGTACAGTGACAGTAGGTTTGATGATGTCCTATACAAATCACAAAACTGATTTAAATCAGGTCTTCCGGCTCCGGCCAGATCAGCTGTTCGTGAGGAATACTCCCACACACTTCAGTTCTGTGACGGAGACATTTATCGAAGCTGGCGGTTTTATCAGACACAGGGCAACGTGGAGGAAGCTGCTCGATGGTTAGCGAGACTATCCCCTAGGAAGCGGGCAGATGTGCAGCAGCTACAGATAAAACATCACGCATTGAGCCGAGGATTCGACCAGCTTCTACCCTTTATCGGGCTATGGCCCAAGCTAGAGATAGGTAATCTGCATGGGCTCTTTGCTGTTGAAAAAAAAAGTCCCAAGGTACGATGCGTCCTTCCTCCTTCTACTTAACAGGAGTTCTCAACCAACCCAGGCGCTCCTCCATTACCTTGACCGAATGCACTCCATGTGGAGTGTCATCCTTGGAGATCAACGATACTCGCTGGTTGATCAGGGTACCGTCGCTTTGCTTGAAACAATGGCCCCGGGGGACGCAAACGCGGATGCTGCATTGATTCAAGATCGGATGAGCCGTCGAGAGATATTTCCAGCCATTGACGAACAATATGAACGCGATGCCATTCTGCAGAATATCTTGGGGATCAATGGACGTATTCTATCTTTCAACACCTTTTTCCAAGATTTGATCTATCTCGAAGCCTGTGTGAACTCACTCTGCTTTCTTCTCCCTTCAACCTTTCCGGGTTCGCTACGGGACACCTTTACCGGTGTAAACCAGGTAGCCGGAGAGATCCGCGTTCAAACTAGGGACCATGGAATGGTAGTATGGCCAAATGAGCGGGGCGAGTGGGACCAATGCCGGGAATTGGGATATCAACAACTGATACTTGCTGCCATGCGCGACTTCCCGTCACTCAGCCAAATCGCGCCTCGTCGGGATCAGGGCAAACCAGCGTCCGTAGTTGACAGCCCTAGCGAAGAATGCCGCCAGGGGATAGCCAACCTCGCCTTCAACCTCGGCTTTGAGACCTCAGAAATCAGGAATTTGCGAGCAGTAGATCCTACTCGTGATCTGGCAAGCAAGTTCCTTAGTCGGGCCCGACCTCCCGAGTTTTACGACCTAGATGAGAACCTTGTCAACGACATCGTCAGCTATATAGCTGAACACCTCCCCAGGGCTGCACGACTTCGGCCGTTAAACCGGCCGCCGGAGTTCACCACTAACCTTCTATCACAGCCTAAAGACGACCGTTGCAACCGACCGCGCCATGCAGCCTACAAGAATGACCGCGAGTACCTCTATCTTGATGTAATTTACAATTACCAACCCACGGGGGGTTCGCATCTCACATCTCTAGCTATTCAACGAGACATTTTTGTCAGTTTTTTCAGCCCGCCTTATACGAATCACAATTTCCATCATGGTAGTGGGAGCTCAGACCCGCCTCTGGATTCACCACTGGAACACAGTCTGAGTGTGTATGACTCCATGGCGACGGGACATGCATCCAGTTCAGAGGGTTGGAACGGTCCGCGAGTTTCCTGGAACAGTTGTTTGACAAGCAGTGCTCATTTTGATGCTGGCACTGAAACTGATTTCTCTTTCTATAGCCTCGAATCTGGAATCTTGCCTTCAGCTGAAGTGGACCATGCTCTATCATCATCGAATGTAGATCTTGTGTTCTATGACTGTAACAAAAATCGCCTTGCTGTTTTCCGCAATCTATCAGAACAAAGAGCCTTGTTTGATGAGACAGCAGGCTCATTGGCAAATGATGGTTACTGCTTTGTAATTGAAACTACGGGCCGACTTGTCATATGTCCATTACATGAGCTCTGGGAGGCTGTGCAGAGTCGACGTCTGGTTCTTGTTGGATTGAAGAGAGATGTGCGAAAGGGACACAGTGGCGCCAACACTCTCCGAGACTTAATAGGCCATATTGAAAGACATCAGAGGAGAGAAACATCGGATACCTCCTGTTCTTTGATGTAATTATTAAAACTGGAAAATATATAAGTACACTGCTGATAAACATATAAAACACTGCCGAAATCATCCCTCCATTATCTTATTCATTGTGGTGACAGCTCTGCAATGAATTGCCCAGGCTCTCCACGGGCGAGTAAGGAACATGCTGTGAGATGGCAAAAGCTGGTGGCATAAACATAGATGGTTGATCACTCTTCATCTCTTTTGCTCCCTCATTATCAACATCATCCTTGCTGGGGACTAGCATTTCGAAGTCGTCATAAGTGTGAGTCGTTTTTGGTACGGTTTCGAGCTGTTGAAGTGCAGGTGGGTTGGCATATGAGAATCAAAATTGAACGGAAAACTTACAGTTTCTTGGGGAGGATAGCTTGTATCCGGTTTGAAGCAAAAAGTATCACCCTCAGGATCAGAGAGAAGCAGAAAGACATTTAGATTGAAATCCACGGCAAGTTTCCGTAGTTTACGAAAGATAGTTCTGCGGCGCTTGGGGAGCGCATCTCTATTTCTGCCGTTCTTCAAAAGCCTCTTCGCGACTTTGGTCATGTCTTGAAAAGTAGGCCAATGGGTTTTCAGAGAAGTTGCTTGATAAACAAAAAGAGTCTTGAGAAAGTTCTCCCAGAGGCCACAGTACATAAGATAAAATCTGCCTTTGTGCAAGTTGAACCTTCCAGGGAGATTATCACCCTTATATAAGACAACTTTAGCATAACTATTGAAATAAGAACACTAAAAAAAGAAAATATCCCTGCTGTTTTGAAACCAAATGAAACAAGCAGAAAGCGATGCGCTGATGTACGAAGAAGCGATACGCCTAAGTGAATGAAAATAGTAACTCTAGCAAGCCTTAAGGAAACGGAGCGCCCTACTCAGCGCTTACTCTCCACCAGGATATAAAGGATACATCATGCAGTCTGCTATCCTCAATTGTTGAAAGAGAATGAACAAAAATGAATCTTATAATTATCTACGGATTATTTCTTGGGGCATGTGTCTCCCTTCTACTTTTACTTCAACTCATTCTGTTTCTGAAAAAACATACAACTCCCTTGTTTCACCGTATGATTGTCCTCAGTCTCAAACATGTGATCTACCCGCATCTGTTCCATCGATCATGGATCTTTGCACCACCAACGCCATTCAACCTCTCCCTTCAACTTGTCTATTATGCAGTATCACTTGTCTGTAACCTCATCGGGGTGCATTCAGTCGATGAATTCGGGATTCGGGCAGGAAATCTCGCAATTGTCAATCTTATTCCTCTGCTCTCTGCCAGTCGACTCGATCTGGTGGCGAAACTCCTTGGCCTCTCCCTCCACTCATACCTCCGTATGCATGGCACTGTTGGTCTCACCACTTGCATTCAAGGTCTCATTCATGTGATAATATATGTGTGGCGAAATCGCTTTGATATAAGTGATTCGGTACAACTATACGGGCTTCTGGTATAGTTTTACAACAACCCATCTTTTGTTGTTTGATCTAACCAAATTCAGAGCATTGGATCCTTCGCAATTTTGATCTTCCTAACTGGGATCCGTCGTTGGTTTTATGAGACATTTCTTAAAGCACATTCCGGCTTTGCTATCCTGGCCGCGATAATGCTATGGCGCCATATGGGGATGAAAAAAGTGCTCGCTCGTCTCCATTTGCTTATTGGGTTGGGCATTTTTCTCGGAACCTCCGCGTTACATACAATGATGCTGCTGGCCCGTAATGTGACATCTCGGCAGTTTGGATCTAAAGCCCGGATATTCAGAGGAGGTGATATCATCAGAGTGGAATTATCTGTAGCACGGCCCTTCAAGGTACAAGCCGGTCAATCCATTTATGTCTGGATTCCCAGAGTCAGCTTTTGGTCACACTTTCAAACCCACCCCTTTGTTGTTGTCTGGGATAAGCAAGATGATAATGGTAAAGCACCCAACATATCTCTGCTGATTAAAGAAAGAGGTGGATTCACAAGCAAACTGAGCCGCCACAATCAGAAGGCAACTTTTATGGCATGGATTGACGGTCCGTATGGCATACCATTGTCGCTTGGGAAGTATACCCATGCGTTAATGGTTGCTACAGGGATCGGAATAGTCTCTCTAATTCCTTGCATCCGAGAGTTTGTGGAAGCGCAGAAGCAACAGCCCATTCTAGGCCGTACTATTCTGGTAGCATGGGAACCAGATGGTGAGAGTAAGTTCTAGAAAGCCCAAACACCGCTGATCTGTAACTAACTCTTTAGGTGATCTGGATTGGGTAAAGGATTGGATGGATCAGCTGTTGCAGGAGGACAAAGGAAACTATGTCAGTTGTATGATCCTTCTGATCATGACACAAAACTCACTATTTATTAGATTCTCCGCTTCGGCCTGTACAGACATCCCCGAGGATCCGCGCCGGAAACAGACGGACAACATGACAGAATTTGGAACTTGCCTGTTGGGATGGACCCAAAGGACCTTGTAACCCAAGAATATATAAAGCATAAACGCAGCTTAATCATTGCAGGTAATCTTTAACTTATTATCTTGATTGACCATGACTGACTGGTAGGGAGTCTCCGCAAAAAATACTATTCGAGATGGCATGCGAGAGGTGGTGCGGAAGGAGATGAAATCTGATGTCACTCTGATTGATCTGCCATTTCAACCCTGGGAGAATCCCCGGGCACCCAAAGAGGCTGTGTAAAAAACTTAAGAGGCTGTGAAAAAAAACTTTTAATGCATCTCTGAAGTTATTCGCATGTGGATTAATGAAATTTTAACAGAATTGATTGCTAGCTACATTATGATTGAAATGGTTCCCAGTCAATTTTTGCAAATCGTCCGGCCTCCAGGGCGAGAGGCCCGAGGCAGCCCGGTCCACCAGAAAATGCCAGAAAAACATGCTAGATCTTGCATTAGCAATTGATTGATAACATCTAGAAATAGACTCACATTTAGAAGCTCTGTAATTGAGGAGTTTTGTGTCTTCTTGAAAAACTCCAAGATGTCGGCACTCCAACTTCCTGGCTGTTTCAGAGTCAGAGTCCCTGGGTTAAGATAACTGTTGCCGGGCTCCATGATTTCCTTCATCAACAGGCCAATGGACCGTATATCAGCCTGATTATCATCATAGTTGGAGAGCAGGCTCACTCCGATGTTGCCTGGATAGAAATTAATCTGGGAGCTGTGGGAGCAGCATGCTACATGACACTGACTTACCAATTTTGATGAGTCCTGTAAATGAGAGAAAAATATTGCGGCATGTAATATTACCATGAGTGATATGTAGTTCTTTGTGAACATATGAAAGACCTTGGAGAATCTGGCTATGCTTAGCAAGGAATATTTGAGAAAAGATTGAAAAATAAATACCTCTTTGCACACTGCAGCAATGTGAGCCTCCTTCAACACAATGCAAGAGTGAATCTTGTCCAGTGAGAGATGCATTTGTTCATAAACAAAAAATACAACAGATTTATTCACATAGGCACTCTTCAAATTCACCAGATTTGAATGTGATGTCTTGAGGAGATTCTGAATAGTATTTGGCTCGGAGAGCTTATATTCCTTGATTGCCACAACAGTGCAGGCCGCAGAATGCTCAGAGGCCAAATACAGGGTCTTGGACTGGCCCTCTCTTGTGAATCGTTGATATTTTCCCCATGGGCTCCCCTGTTGACAGAATTCTGCGGAAAATCGTTTATTTCCATTCTCATCATTCGGGTGATTAACTGGGAGAGGAAGTGGAGGTGGCTTCCACAGCTTTCGTTTTTGAGCTCCAGGAGTGTGGGATTCAGCAATCGGCTCTGACAATGTTGATGTGTCAGGAAAACAGAGACGTCCGGGGAAAGCAGTACAGGGTCTGTCTGTTGAAGTCATTGTAGCTTCCAGAGAAAGAAGATAATCTAGATTGAATGGTCAGGAGCGAACCTTTCTCTATAAATGCATGTCAAAACACTTCCGCATTTTAGTGCATTTTTGACTTTGCTTATTAGTTTACTTTGAACCTTTTGGATGGTTTTTCAGTGGGTATAAGACAGTATTATACACCCTCCCACATTATGCAGAAAATGTGATACAGGTGACTTTATTGTGAATATTAATATTCTATAGAGTTCCAAAGCATCCTCTGCTATGTACTATCGCAAGGTGTTGATTTGCCCAAATGGTGACTGGACCAGACGGGATCCACGTGATGGGCCCTACGGCATTTTCCTCACCACATCAAAGGGCGAATCGGTGTCGGCAGTGGACAATGTGCGGGGCAGCTACGAAGCCATATGGCAGGAAGCTAATGACACGATGAGGGATTTACTCTGGGGCACGAAGAATCAGCGCATCACTGCCATGGCCACAGTTCAAATGCTGAATCAAAGGATAAAAGATATGAACTTGTTATGGAATCGAGACCCAAGGACTGGTATCATTGATTATCAAGACTGGATGCAAGCGGGCGAACAACTTGACTTGGCTATTCGCGACCACTGCATCTTCAACTCGGATGCACGATACTATGATGTTGAAGATTTCCTCTATGAACGGATTCAAAATCGATGCTATCCAGCATCATGGAAAGTCGAATGGGGACGCTATCAGGAGAGGTGTGCTCTCAACTACGAAATACATCCCCGGCCTTTTAGATCTCCTCAATCAGAGGTTCAAAGAGCAGCATTAAGCCGAAGAGCACATTGGTCAGCGCTGCCTCCCCAGCTAAGACGACAGACAGGTTTTCGGCAACCCCCACAGATTGTTAGACCTAATCGCCGTCAGCCTACTACCAGAGTGGATCGTATAGAAAAATGGGATGACCTGATGCGGCCAATAAGATGACATTTGACAAAAAGAGATTTGGAGAAAGAAGAGGTGGCCTTCAAACCTTCAACCCCCATCCCTTAGCACCCCTTTCAAGATGAGGATTTTTATAATTATTACAATTTACAAAGCTTAATATTATATTTTTAGAGAAGATTTTTTTAAAACCATATCACGGAAGTTCTCTTGAAGATCACATAACTATTTAATCAGCTAATCAGAGAGAATTAATTATCTTATTATACTATTGATCTCTTTATCTTCATTGCCACTTCAACCCACGGGGCTGTACAGCCGCAAAAATCGATGGGGGACAAATCAACAGCTGGTGGTGAGATGGGCGAGACACGCGATACACAACGCGTCTTGAATGACAACAAGGACAAGACAGCAGCCAAGAACACAACTGCAGCAATCAAAGCACTGAGTGCAATTCTTGAGAAAGGTGAAAACAACAAGGGGGCTAATGAGGAGGGGAGAATGCTGTATCTATGAAGATTGATCGAGTATAATGGATGAGATATGGGGGAGTCGAAGGGAATTTGCTTTGTCCTAGCTTGCAAAGCGCAATTGGCTTCAACATTCGCTCCAAGAGTTTTTGCTAGAACCGGATGAGCAGTGGTTGAAAAGGAGGCCATCGCGTAGGTTAAGATTAAAAGGTTTCACATGGAATTTGACAACCAATGTTGGAATATAACCCTGCTCCATAAGGGAGAAATCAAAACAAAAAGAAATAATTCCAATGTTAAATCTATAGAATTCTATCAGCGTGCTTCTGTGATCAATATTGCTTGAAATGCATTCTCCCTATTGGTGAAAGCAGTGGAATGTGTTGTCAGCTTATCGCTAGTGTTGCTATCCGGGCTCCTGTTCATCTCCATCTCCATCTCCATCGCCATCTCCATCTCCATCTCCATCTCCATCTCCATCTCCATCTCCATCTCCATCTCCATCTCCATCTCCATCGCCATCTCCATCTCCATCTCCATCTCCATCTCCATCTCCATCTCCATCTCCATCTCCATCTCCATCTCCATCTCCATCTCCATCTCCATCTCCATCGCCATCGCCATCGCCATCGCCATCGCCATCGCCATCGCCATCTCCATCTCCTCCATCTCCGCCGCCATCTGCCACCACTTATCGTTTTTCAAATCAGCTTGGATCAATGGCCCCGCCAAGCAAACAGTGCACACTCTGTGAGAAAACTATTCGGTCAAAGGACTATTCCAACCATGTGAAGAATCAGTGCCTAGGAAAATCGTTGGCTATCACTTGTGAGAATTGCAACAAGACAGTTCCACAAAATCATGAGTGTGTCAGAGGCAAGAGACAGCGTTGTCAGCTCTGTCAGAAGTTGAAAGATGCAAAACATATGAAACGTCATATCAAATTTTGCCAGCGCAAACAAAACACCTCTGCAATTCCTGATCTGCTTGGTAAGTGCAAATATTTTCCAAGTCTATTTCCCTCTCAACATTTAAACTGATAGAAAATTAAACAGAGAATGATGATGTCTCATTGAAGTCATCTACTGTGCACAAAATGATATCCAGCCTTCAGAATGATGGAAAATTCCCAGAATGCCGACTTGACAATCTTTTCCCACTTGTTGACTCTGGAAATGTATGCTGGAAGCAACCATTTCTATTTTCTTCATCTGATGTCTGGGTTAAACAATTTTCACCATTGGAGATTTTCAACGCTGTGCGTCTCGCCACACAAACTAAGGACTCCATTTATCGGGATGGTGAGCTCATTCAAAATGAGGAGCAGAATTGGAATATCAGCAATGTCTTTTACCAGGCTGGTATACCTCTCAGTTCCTCCGATCTCTCACCTAAATATTCCTTGATGAATATTTCTCTTCCAAAGGAATTCCACCAGCTTCAGCCGTGCAACGCACTTAAAAACCAACTTCGAATCATGGATGACAACAACCTTGAGTTGCTAGCCAATTTTGCGCCTGCGGGAAACTTTGTTGATATACACATTGGTTTGTACAAACTCCCCATCATTATTATTCTGTGACTGATTTTGAACAGATCAAAACCGACATGGCTTATCTCAATCCATTGGACACTCACAACGTATATGGCTTCTATACCCACCAACAGAGGAAAACCTCAAAGTTTTTGCACAGTTTTCAGGTGAATTTGGCCGTCTCACCAAAATCTCAAGCAAACTGAATGATGGGTATGTTGCTTGTGTCGATTCATCTAGAGTAGTTTACATTCCTCCTGGTTGGCTACATGCAACGTTTACAACAAGATCCGGCTCCTTGGTTGGGGTTAACTTCGTATCTCTTGAAAGTCTGGAGACCATGGCACTAAGTGTTGGCATACATCTTCCATATCTTTATCGAATTTCTCAATCAGTGCTGGAGGATTTCAGAGAATTCAGCAAAGCTATCTTGAACTTTCTTGATAATGAGTATGAATCTGAAATCATTACTCTTGTATTGAGAAGTTGGGTGTTGTTTCTGCAAGCTCTGTCAACTGATGTATTGAAAAACATGGACTTTCAATCAGCAATACATACTCTTCTTAATGGTCTTGAAACAAAGCTGTTGTGGAAAAAAGCATATTGCTGTGACACAACCCATACAAATGTGCTCCCCCATGTTAAGTGCAATCATTGGGTGAAATTTCACAAAAACGCTCGCTGATCTTTCTTTCTGGCCTCTTGTTTTCTATTAGGGGATAGGGAATGGAAAAGGTTAGAATGTTAGAGAGTTAGCTGATGGCTTGTATGAATGCATATCCCAATGGAAGATTCCCTACATCAAGTACAAAGTCAAATGTTTGTCTCTCACTTGTTTTGATCATCATCACCAGCCCTGTAGTAAGAGTTAGGGTGGATTGGTATAAGAATGCTTAATTGCCCCAATATGTGTGCCCTGGATTGCTCAACAAGACCTTTGCTCCTACCGAAGTTCTTCCGAGGCACACATGTGTATGCGCTTTGTGTATAACAGATAAATAACTACCAATTTAGACAGTGGGCCAGTGATACAGCAGGTGAAGGCTGCCATTGCTTGATTTTAGGAACAGTTTGTGGTGTAATTATGCTGAGCATCACACTCTCCTTCCATTCGGCTCCCTTCCTGGGAACCAGCATCCAGAACCGACATCATGTACACTTGGCCTTTGTTAAGATATATACTGTGACATTGAACCGAAAGCCGAAACAGGAAATGTCAACACGTTGGCCTTTCTTAAAAGAATAATATTCAGGTGCAATATAGAAACTTACTTTTCACTCCCAGGCTTGTTCGATTGTCAATAGGGGTCGATAAGCTGATACCGTGCAAACCACATCGTCAATTATATCTAACGATAATATCTAGCGATGATATCTACAATGATGTAAATTCACTGTTTAAAATGTACAGTGGAAAACATCAAAAAAACCCATTTGACCATGAAAACAATTAATAAAATTTAGACTGGATTACTTTCAAAAAGTGCGTAGTGATGGTCTTGAATTCATTGCTACAACAAACAAATTCTTTCATTTATTCATGCTTATTCTCAAGTTTGCCTTGCCTTTCCTCCTTCTCCACTAGACTTCTAATATTTCGTGTAGTTCTCGCACGTTGTTCGGGACGGAGGGGGGTAATGCATCTCCTGTTTCTGTAAGAGCTGCATCTTTCCAGAGCTGTACTGGACATCACTCACTATATCTTTATCTGGTGGTGGAAAGTGGTTGCTTGAAGCATCAGACTTGTTAAAATTAATCGTAAAGTACCGGTTGTCTTCATGGATAAGAAGATAGACACCTTTGCAGTGACAGTCATCGAAATAGCTATGCAGCATACGCTGTAGTGTGCCTTTCCGTCGGTAACGCATTTGCACAAGGCTACGGTGCTTGGTCCATGGCTTCTTGACACACTTTGAGTTTGATGCCTGCATAATGTAGCAATTAATTCCAATGAAAATGAAGGATATGAGACTTGATAATTATAACTTGGCACTATGGGAAGAGATCTCAATTTATAGCTACATGAGATGGCCACCATTGAAATAAAAGTCGCTTTTTCAAGGTGTACTTCTGTTGGATGTTGTTTTGCCGCAGCGCTTGCATGCGATCTGCAATCCGAAACCATGACCACACCATTTGACAAATTTTTCTACTCAGCCCACCATTCGATCATTATGATCAAGAGGACATGAAAGTCAAGAAAAAAAACAACAACAAAAAAAAGTACAAAATAAAAATGAGTATAAATTAAGAAGAAATAGAACAAAAGAAGCCGGAATTCATTAGAATGAAAGGATGAAAGCACACAAATGCAGAAATCAAAATTGCAGATATGCAAAATTGAAAGTTTCACTTTTATATGCCAAGAAACTAACCACTATGAAGTGGTGCAGCCGCCAGAGTTGAGCCGCCTACTTCTGTCCTGGAACTCCTTCTGCCCTGGGACTATTTCTGTCCTGGGACTACTTCTGCCCTGTGACTATTTCTGAACCCCAAACACTCCTCGGGCCAGTACATCCTAGTTAAAGCCATTCGGTCATTGGACGAACTTCGAGACCTTGGGTGGGACGTGCAGTTTCACTGGATCCCAGCACACGTTGGGGTGCCAGGGAACGAAGAGGCGGACAGGCTAGCGAAACAAGCAGCAACACTAAATACTGGACAACCCGGACAGGACTCATTAAAGACTCTGATGGCAACCACAAAATCCGCTATTCGCCAGGCAATGAAACATGAATGGGAGGCATCCTGGGAAAAGGAGAAACATGGCAGAGACCTCTTCAAACTTGGGGTTCGTCCAGGAAAAGCGATCCTCAAAACACACAATGGAACACACAGAGCCATCAGCTCAGTAATCACTCAGATGCGCACAGGCAAGATTGGTCTCCGCGCGTATCTCCACGCCATCAACAAGGAGGACACCGATGGATGCCAATGCGGGTATGGACCGCAGACCGTACGACAGATCCTCCTGGAATGCCGAGATTGGGCGGACGAACGATATCAAATGTGGGCAGGCAAGTCTCCATGCGCGGACATCAAGCGCATTCTCAGTAGCTCGTCAATGGCAGTACAAGCAGCAAAGATGATGATCAGGACGGGCCTCCTGAGCCAATTCAGGGCGGTCCCGTCCACAGTACTCCAATACAACTAGCATGCGAGTGTATATTCATTATATAGAAGCGGAGGAGGGCCAGGAGAGGCCTGACAAGGCAGAGATAGAGAACTGATAGGAACACTATGGATAAAGGAAGCTCTCATGGGAAAGAAGCAATTCTTGCATGAAACGCCGGGCACCAACTGGTTATTCATGCAAGGAAAGCTAAATTTCCAAGGGAAAGAGTGGAAACCTGTAGAGCGCTGCATAGCGGCTGGGTCAGTCTATGAATAAATAAATAAATCAATCAATCAATTATTTCTGTCCTGGATATTTCTGTCCTGGAACTACTTCTGTCCTGGGACTACTTCTGCCCTGGGACTACTTCTGTCCTGGAACTTCTGCCCTGGGACTATTTCTGCCCTGGGACTATTTCTGTCCTGGGACTATTTCTGCCCTGGGACTATTTCTGTCCTGGGACTATTTCTGCCCTGGGACTATTTCTGTCCTGGGACTATTTCTGCCCTGGGACTATTTCTGTCCTGGGACTATTTCTGTCCTGGGACTACTTCTGCCCTGGGACTACTTCTGTCCTGGAACTACTTCTGCCCTGGGACTATTTCTGCCCTGGGACTATTTCTGTCCTGAGACTATTTCTGCCCTGGGACTATTTCTGTCCTGGGACTATTTCTGCCCTGGGACTATTTCTGTCCTGGGACTATTTCTGTCCTGGGACTACTTCTGTCCTGGAACTACTTCTGTCCTGGGACTACTTCTGCCCTGGGACTATTTCTGCCCTGGGACTATTTCTGTCCTGGGACTATTTCTGTCCTGGGACTACTTCTGCCCTGGGACTATTTCTGTCCTGGGACTATTTCTGTCCTGGGACTACTTCTGCCCTGGGACTACTTCTGTCCTGGAACTACTTCTGTCCTGGAACTATTTCATCTGTGTGCGGCTTTAGATGTGACATTGACATCGTTGGAGGTTAAGAGTTCCTGGAGCACGGCTTCTGTTTCATCCATGGTGCATTCTTTGTTTATTATGGCATCCTCAATCTTGATTTTAGCACCTTCAAGCATTTTATAGGCGGCTCGAACTCTGGTGATGTCACCGTCGCATATTGCGGAGCACAATTGGTCTAGTGCATTCTCAAGGCACCCTTCAAACCACTTCAAGTGTTTCATCTCATCTATCGAGTTGTTCATGACTGTGATAAAACGTCCGGCTATGCCCGCCGGGGCAAGGATACGGATACGGCGGGTGATGGCTGCCATCGTTTTTGATTTTGGGAACAGTTCGTAGCGTAGCAGGATGTCAATTTCAATATCACCCTGTAGGGAAGTATCTTGTGAGGAATTCTTGCTTTAAGGTATATCAAAATACAGACATTACGGATTGCTCCTATCCTTTTATGCTTACAGCCAAAACTGTGCATGCATGTAACAGGGCGCGCATAACAAGGCAAACAAGCCCAGGCGTGCCTAAATGACAACATCCATCCTCATGCAAGCCATTTTTGACGTGCCAAAATCATGCAAGCATGTAACAAGGCGCAAGAGTAGTCGTATGCCCCTATAGGAGTGGATGGCCAGGCCTGCCTTTGCACAGGCTAGTGGTGATCATCAAAACAAGTGAGAGATAAACATTTGGCCAGTACTTGCTACAGCCCATCTTCCATCGGGAACCTGTACAAGCCACCAGTTGCAACGGGAGCCAATCCCCCGATTCCAGCGGTATATAGTTTCCCAGGTCATAAGGTGCTGGTGCCAGAACTGCACATGCATGTAACAGGGCGCATGTGCAGAACAAGGCAACAAATTCAGGTAGGTCTAAATGGAAATATCTATCATGCACCTACAGGAGCAACTTCCTCAGATGCAAGTGGGTGACCAGCCTGCTTTTGCACAAGACAAGAGGCTAGTGATGGTTGTCAAAACAAGTGAGTAACAAAAATTTGGCTTTTTGGTGCAGGGGATGACATATGCACCCGTACAAGCCATCACTTGCAATGGGAGCCCTTAATTCCAGCTGTGTATAGTTTAGAATTTGGCATGGCTGGGTTTTCATCAGCGTCCGGGATTTCTAATTTTCCAGGATGCACTATTTCTTATTGGCACAAGCAAGGATAATTAGTTTTTTAGATAACCAATCATTTTTCTTTGATTTAACAACATTATCAACCAGGAATACAACAGAAAATCACACAGAGCTCTGCATCAGAGAGAAGTAAATACAGATTGCCAATGTATTTCAAACCCATTCTGAGACTCCCGCTTCAAACTCTGCAAAGGAAGGGAGCTGAATGAAAGGAGAAAATGTGAAGCAAGTATCTTTTTCAGTCAGCTCCCACAACTGTTTCAGCTTCATTTTCATCTCTTCCAGTCTTGAATCCTTTTCCATAACTTCCCACTGAAGCCGAGTAATTTCAGCACGGAGAAAGCAATCTTGTTTTGTATGAATATGGTGGTGGATATGGTTTTTGAGATCTCTCTCTCTGGCAAATCCATTTCCTGAGCTTCGATCACAGTCTGAATAAGGACACATCCACTTCTTCCCTTTTTGATGAATCTCTTCTACATGACGGCGCACGTGATATTTCCGGGTAAACGATTGGTTGCAACCGGGGATCATGCACCTATATGGGTGGTCATGTTTATCCATATGTTTGCTGTTCATGTACTTAACACATAGTTCAAGAAATGGGAATTGTATTCAAAAAAGGGGCTGCATACCTCCAGTCACTGCGTCTCTTGAAGTATGGGATATGATTGCGGCAATCTGGGTGATCACAGTATATCTGGCCGGCATTTTTGGGCGGCTCCCTTGTTCGCCTTGCAGCCAGTTGCAGTTCAGAATCATCAACCATGGCTGTCTTTGCTCTTTGTGGCTGAGGAAATATTTTGACCAACTGGGCAGCCAACCACACTGTGACTTTTGCAATGATCCAGAGGGTAACCCAGAAGGCAGCATCAAGCAAGATAAAAGGAAGGGTAAAAACTAGAAACCAGCTAAAAAGCCTTTTGGAACGGGGGCAAAGGAAATGGTTGAAATTGGGATTCTGTGATCCCATGCCAGCTGGCGTTGTTTCTGACGTGTGTAGAGAATAAGAGGATGGGAGAAGGGTGGGTGCAAGGTCTCTCTTTATGGAATCTAGCGAGAGACACAATAAGGTCCAGAGTGCAAGCCAGCCTTACCTTGACTGCTTCCTGCCCGGGGAACTCGGATTGAGCCCCTGGAATTTGTTAGCATGGAACAAACAGTTCGGATCTTCGCTTCGCCCAACCCAACTGGGGATCAATATGTGCATGGCCATCCATACCCAACAAACCACGGAGATACCGGCTGAGAGCATTGGCTTACATATGGTACCATTCATTTACATGCACCAATAACATTTCCACCATGCCACAGCCACGCTCTGGGATAGGAGGCTTGGAATATTAGTGACAAGACACCCCGGTTGTCAGACACAGACCACCATTGTGGGGTATACATTTTTAATGTTGTTATTTTAACAACAGATTGGAAATAATGGCCTGCTTCTAGAGCGCCGATATGTCCTCTGCTGTGACCATCGCGGGTATACCAACTCAATGGTTTTGCACAGTACACCCTCCACGCTTCCCGTTGATTGGCTCTTCACCAACTTAAACCAATATTTGCATGCCCATCAATTGGCTTATGTATGATACCAGTCATTTATGTGCACTGGTAGCATTTCCGCCAAGCAACAACCTAATAGTCTGCCACAGGATTTTATCTCTGTGCATCAATATGTCATATACATATAAAATTTAAACTGTGTTTGTCCATCTCAATCATTTCTCACTACAGATGTGCTATGTGGCATCCTCCAGGTTCCATTTCCTAGCTAAGCAAGCCACCAACCACCAATGAATATCGCGCAGGAAATGATGCAAAAGTTCACTTCTTTGTAGGAAATTGCTTCTGAGCTTCTATAACAGCACAATTAAAATCACTATGTTTCCATAGATAGTTCTGGATATCCGCCGGGCTATACTGGCAATTGGGAACTTGGTTGGCGAACTCAGCAGCCATGTCTGCAAGATTGGTATGGCCTTTGTGGGCGTACATATGCTGGAAAATCGATTTTATTTGCTCCTCTGATGCCAGTGTAAATTTCACTTCCATGTCCACACGTCCCGGACGGATAAGGGCTGCATCAAGTTGATCTCGGCAGTTTGTGGTCATGACCAAGATTCTCCCGTCGGATGATGAGACACCGTCGATCGCGTTCAAGAGGCCGGAGAGAGATACTTGGTTGTTTTGCTTTGCACCGTCCTCCTGTATGGCTCGCATTTTCTCGCGGTTGATTCCGGCACTGTCAATATCCTCAATGAGAAGGACACAACGGCGCGGTAGATGGCTACAGAGCCACTGGAGTTCATCATCGGTCATGTTTTGACCCGTCAAGCTCAACGTGTAAATATCCAGACCGAATTTACCCGCCAAAGCAAGCGCAAGGCTGGTTTTCCCAGTCCCAGGGGGTCCATTGAATAGATAACCACGGCGGTATGGCCTTTCTGTTTTCGCATACACTGACTGAGCGTTCAAGAAACTGCACATGTCATTGTAAACTTCTTCCTTCCGCCCAGCTTCTAGGGAGATACTTTTGAGCGACCGACGACTCGTGCCTTTGACAAGATGCCATGGAGTCTTAGTCTGGCGGACAGGCTTTCCTCCCGGGTTGAAAATTGTAATGTGGGATTTGTTCTTGGAGATGTGACATGACCTGGCTTCTGCGAGTAATCTTTGAATTGGCTTGCAGGACCAGCCTAAAACTCTCAGGCTGTAGCGCTCCTCAGAGCAGAACTCAAATCTTATTTCCTTCCGCCGAAACTGGAATATTGAAAGTCCGAATAGAAATAAACAAATTGTGTTGGGCCGAAATCGATAATCCCGCAATGCTCCAATGGTTTTCCAGTCCCACTCTGTCTTAGGGGTGTCCTCTCCACTCCATTCCTCACTCCTCACCCTCCAAGACAGGCACCCGGTAAACCGGGATTCTAGAAACGTGGTTAGATGTTCCTGTTCCTCACTGCGCGGTTCAATTTGTACCTCCACGGCACAGAATTTCCAGATTCCATCATATACCCAGATACAGACATAAACAAATGCACATCCGACAATCAGGACATTGGACAGAAGGCCCAGGTTTGGAGCTCTGTGGAATATGTCAATAAATATGGATCCAGGGAATATGGTATTCAAAAGAGAACCAACGAGGCTTGATGCCTGGTCCATGATATTTTTGAGAAGTATGCAATGACAGATTGGACAGGGTCGTAGGGGGAAAAAAGTCAAATAAAAACACACTGAGAGATGGAGGGCTGTACAGGGGAACTAAGAAATTATATAGAACACTGACACCAACTACAGCATTCATGTATGTACCTCCACAAGTTTGTCCATAATCCAATCATAAAGCTTATAATGACAGCTGAACCAACCTTCCAATCACATGTGCTCCCCCCCCTCCCCTTTGAAGATACTCTTGTGTCTTCCCACTGTAAGATCCGCCCAGGCCATGTATTTAGAGCTTCGGATGGGATAGTTATGGTTTGGGAATGTGATTCAGAAAAAGAGAGTGTAACAGTGCAAGGAAAAGAAGTCTTTTCACCGGTGATATGCAGATGGCCATTACTAAATGGGTACAACCGGATGTATCGCATTACATCCCTGATATAACCAGCCTCAAACGCCATGGCAACCCCCCGCCCCAATGAGCTCATAAGATCGGATAGTGAGGCTGGGAGTAACTTGCCAGTGCCTGCACTGACAAAGTAGCTGTCTCCATGTCTTACAAGTTGGTGAAAAGGGGCCGAAGCCTGGTTCTGTTAGTGAAAACTACCACAATGAGCAAAGGCCTATCAAGACTCGGGGGAAGAGCACACCATAAGATCAACCCGAACTTTACCGCAGGGGACAGAAAACAATACCCTAAAAATAATCGATGCAGGAGGGTGTTTGTAAGTGGCCCGGCCTGGATTTTGCTCAGCCGAATCATCTAGACATCACAAAGCAGGGGACTGGGAATAACACACCTCAAGGGCCAGCGGAAATGCTGTACATATTCCCAAGGGATAGTAAAATGCTGGTGTATCTGAAACAAGCATTTAGCATTTATCATCATCATCTCAGTAGAAGAGGCTGCTCACCCCCGCGCCTTAAGCCTGATAGACCAATGCCAATGACAACACTATTGACGCAGATAAAGAGAACAAAGATTAAAGTCTCAGGCAATCAGTGAGGCTGGGGCCGGTGAACAGTAAGCAAGATGAGATGCATCATACTTAGCACAATGAGCACCACCGACAGAAGCGCATATGAGATGTTAGGATACATTTTGTAAGAAAAGGCAGCCAAGTTGGTCCATTTTGAAATGATCTGTTGCAGAGTGATGTGATGTGGTTTATAGCTCTCGGGCAACCACTCTCTGCGCGCCTTGAATGGGGGCTTTTTCGATGGTCAAAGGCGTATGCCATCTTCATTTCAGCAAATGTTGGACGACAGTTGTCCAGAGCCTGTACAAATAGTTACATGTATATTGTACTCGCGCTCCCACGGTGATCGACGCAAGTTTCCCCCGTGTCCTCAACACAGCCTGGCACCCCTGGCTGCACTTCACATACTCCTTGGTCATTCTAGCTGTTGATGCTGTCCCATTGGGCCAGCCTTCAGTCTGGCTGGCTGCGCGTTACATTGAGCTTAGAATTGGTGGCAACTATCTTTCCCTGGCATCCCGTACGCAGCAATGGCATAGGTAGTCTGTGTGATGGCACATCAGGGGCAATCGACCCGTGTATAGCAAGGTCTATGAAATAGTTGCCCGCATTGGGCGGGCGAAATTGAATGGCCACACATGGACTTAGAGAAAACTGTAACACTTGGGCCCCTTGGCCCTGACCAATGCGCGCAAGGGCTGCATACTCAGAGAAAAACTGTGAGAGGGTTAAACCTTGGTTGGTTATTATCTATCTAGTAGCTAGCGGCAACTAATATGTGTGGGTCACGTGGGATAGGGCTTGTGTAGTAGCTGCAACAAAAACTCTACACTCACGTGATAATCGTGCACATCGCTCACTATTATCACGTGAGTGTAGATCATGAATCTTCAAAAGTGCACAGCAGTTTGTTATCGAGGAGTTCTCACATATCTCAAAACCAAAATTATGGAGATTCTTACTCTCTCCCAAGTATTAGAGAAGCTCTCTCCCTCTACAGTGCTTGATTCAGAGGTAATTCATTACCACATCTTAGATTGGTCATCACCTTCTAACTGTGGCACTAGAGCTTATTGCGTGACTTCCGTCAGTTCTTGCTTAGGGGCACTCCAGAGCAGTGCCTGGAACTCATCCCGTTGCAATACAGACCCTCAAATAATGCAAATATCTCTATCTCTCAATCACCAATCCATCCGTCACTCACCCCACCTCCCCAGGGTCCATCACTGGAGCGACTCATTCCACAATTACCTTCCATTGTATCCGTCCAGTGCTCCACAGAACCTCTGCCCCGCACTTCCAGTTCTTGCAACTCCTACAACCACCCAGTGGGCACAGAGACAACCTATCCTCCCAGCGCTTCAAACCTCGATTGTCACCCAGTGGTTATAAAGAATGGACAATATGCTCTACAGAGTCGTGTATCCAAGAAGCGACAAAGTGCTGAGGCAAATATTGACAAGGGCCAGGGAAGGGAATTAACTGCGGCGTGGACGGAAGAACCGTTTATCAAATTAAAAAAGAACTTCAACAATGTTTCTTTGTCAATAACCTCCTGTGAAAAGATTTGGGGATCAACTGACAGTCTCTTGGATATGTCCCTTCCAACACCAGGGTTACGGTTGAACAAGCTTTTGAAAGGATCAGAAGCAAGAACAGCTGATGCTATCTTTGCAAATCGCCTTTCATTACTCTTTATGACTCACGAGGTTGATCACAAAACTTGGTCAATTAAACATCCGAATGGTGCCAAACGCAAGACTAGGGCATTCAATCTAGTTGCTGCAGACCAAAAATGTAGTGCTGGGGAAATAAAAGTATATGATAGACGAGGTAGAGGATACATTAAGTTGATGGAAGAAGTTGGCCCAATGATTGTGTTTGAACTGGGCAAGGAAGTTTCCAACTTGTGAGTTTACCTTATCTTTCACACGGATTATTAACCAACATAATCATTAGGTGTGAATATCACTTAAATGATGAACAGCGGCAGTTGTTCACCAACTGGCTTCGACGGAAAGATTTCAACAAAGGCAGGGCTAAGAAGTGCATTTCATCAGCAAAACTCATTCTTGATGGAATAACAACTTACGGCAAAGCAAGTTATACTTATGCCAATCTTAGAGAAGCTCCGAGCAGTCTATTAGACATAGTGAGAGAATATGTGAGCTGGGATGATGATGGCACTATCCACCCGAAAAGTAAGATTTCAAGCCTGGTCTCTTCGCTTCTCTGCAGACCCTAACATGTTTTAGATCACATTTCAACCAACAATCCTTCACAGCAAACATCCTCCAACACAGGAACTCCGAACCAAATAGAAAACAGATGCGGCACATCCCCAACTTACTGCTGTCCCAGTGGCTCAGGTGCTCATGAGTGCCACAATGCCTCTTTCTCAAAGCAGGTGTGCAGTCGGCAACTAAGTCCCATCGGGGAGCTTTCATTTGAAGAGCGAGAAGCGGCCCGAATGCTTCAACAATTTCAACAACAGCTACCACAGCAACCCATCAACAATAAACCAAGTGGCAGCCACCACTCAGCTTATGACCCTGCCTATTATCCGATGCAATCTGAACCGACACTAGTGGGTGCACTCAGACAGCAATCTGTCAACCCATCCGTCGAGGGGGACATTTACCCAAACCCGTGTTACAGACAATCTGTCAACCCGTCCGTCGAGGGGGACATTTACCCAAACCCGGGTTACGGACAATCTGTCAACCCGTCCGTCGAGGGGGACATTTACCCAAACCCGGGTTACGGACAATCTGTCAACCCGTCCGTCGAGGGGGACATTTACTCAAACCCAGGTTACGGACAATCTGTCAACCCGTCCGTCGAGGGGGACATTTACCCAATAGCTTTTTTTCAGCTCACAGAAGCAGATTTACAGCATCAATTTAATGGATTCATGGTGGAAAATTCGAGTCCTGTAACTAGGCTTGCACAGACTGTTTGATTTATTGTCCCCAGCGGTAGATGAAACCGCTTCAGCCATTGCCCATTCTACCTCAGTCCAACCGCCCGTACAACACCGATTCATTCCAGCCTGCTCTCATTGGACATTGACACTTCTTCTGGTACTGAGATAATGAGAAAGTCCAACTGAGCATCGACGACTTGATTACTTGTAAACCGAGTATATTTCCCTGGCTCAAAGCGTACGCCATGTATATCTACAGCTCCCAATAGCGGAAAAAAAAGATTGTCAAACCCGGGTCCTTTTAGAATCGTCGTATATCCAGAAATTCTGTAGAGGGTAAATTTGCAGCCCTATTGCAAATAGTCAGCAACATCGCGAATGAGTCATGGGCCAGAGAGGTATCTACTTTGTCCAGTTTCAACTTGCTTAGCAGCGGATAGACCTTCTGAAATCTTGCCATATCAACGCAACGCCATGTGTTTTTTCCTTGGGTGACCATTTCTGCCGCCCGAAACCACTTTGCTAACTCATCCAAATCTCCTTTAGCATCGCTATCAATTGTTGAAGGGAATTCGAATTTGCTTGTATCTTTCGATTCCGTGTCATCTTTATCAGAGGCCATGTTGATGATGTAAGATGGGTGTGGGGAGAACTGTTCCCTCTCTCAAATGAAAATATAAAGATACTGTCTAATCAAAAACTTATTAACATATGCATGGAGATCTAAGCAAAATTGTAACTCACATCTGTAACAAGGGATAGATGACGATAGGACTGGAATTAAAAAAAGAAAAAATATGGAGAGAAAAATTTGGCGGGGCATGTGGGACATCTCAAAATGACGCATTTATGCATGATGCAAGAGTCGTAGTTCATTATGTAATCCATGTTAATGATGCTGGACGTCTCATGCTGAGGGGAAGAACCAATCCAAACCAAAACAGTATTAGTATGTAGGCAGTTGAAGCATATGTGCGGTATGCTAGTTCAATAGAAAGCCTAAGGCCAACAAATGATCACAGAAGTTGCGTGGGCGTGCACTTGATCGTGCCAACTTCGGCCGGAAAAACAGTGTAGTTCCAACAACACATGCACTAGACATACAACCTCTGTAATATTGATTTTTCTTATTTCTCAAAGCTCTAACCCTTTGTAACTCTGATAGTCCTTTAACCATCTAATCTACACCCCTACACTAAGTGTTGAGCATGGTTCCATAAAAGTTGGTCAAAAGTTGGTACTTCAACTGTCATGTGAAGTCGCGTCACTCCACCTCCAGACTTTGATTTTCCGGATGCAGGCTTGCAAGGATTAGAAACTGTTTGTATTTTGAATAGATGAGTGTAAGACTGGGTGAAAATGTTTTCCTTGCACTTCGGACCAATATTTTTCTAGCGGTTACAGTTGGCGTACATTAATCCTAAACGGGAATAGCCCACCTTCCTCAAAATACAATTTCAATCATCTATTTTGTTCGCGCTTCATTCTGTCGCGATCAAATGGGATTAATCTCCACCGGGTTCCTTGCTCAGTGGGTCTATCCGTTCATCAGAGCCAAGCCGGATCAACCCTTTGACCAGTATCTGTTCCTAACCAGCTATCTTCTCTCACAAGCATCATACGTCATAACTTCCTAACAATTCTGCATTTTTGTTCCTGTCCCATTCATCACTCCTAGTTAACCTCGCATCAACCCAACGGTCTTTTATACCGTCAAAATGGCGGGACTTTCACAAAAAGATCGCAACATTATCAAGAACCATCCTCTAACCAGCTCAATCATTTATAAGGCGTGCTTCGGGAAGCTGAAAAAATCTACGAGTCACGTCTAATTTCCTATGATGGCGCTGTTGATAGCCTTGACCAACTCTATTGGGGAGTGACTTCGGGACTCCTCTCTGCTTTACAGGAAGAGGGTGCAGCTTGTAACCTTCATTCAAGATAGGACTTCAAAAACTAGCAGTATACATTTGGTGATGGTTTATACCCTACTTACCTCCAACTATATTACAGAACCGGTGAACCACTGATCCCCCAAAGCCTACACACCTCTTTGCATCCCTGGAATCGACATGGATCTGATAGAGCCACCCATAAGACACCACAAATTTTGTCATCTCTTCTTTAACTCGCAAACGGGATTAACACCCTCAAATATTTGTGGACTGGTGAATATGGTGAAAACGCACTTGTCAAGGGTTGAAGTCAACTCTCCATTTATCTCAACATTTTCAACCCTGCTTAATGATTGCGGATGGAATGGCTTATTTGGAAAAAAATTTCTGAATTGTGCATTGAAAAGAAATTTCCCAGAAGACCTTCATTTAATAGTCGAATTTTCAATGCCGCTGTCAATATCATGTTTTTGCCTGGTGGTCTCATCTTCAAGATCTCTTGGGATCACGCGGCACCTACTACACCACAGCGAGCAAAATGGATCTTACTGGTTCGAAGGTGGAATGGCAAGTTGACCTGCTTTTGAGAGCTAGAGGTGGGAGCCCCTGGGATATTTCCGTCCATCTTTTGATCAATTTTGGCATCAGTAGCTTGATTCTGATTTTCCTCCATCTCCCGCCTGTCTCTCTTCCTTCCTTTCTATTTCACTCTGTTTCTCCTTCTGTTTTTGTTTCAGTCTTTCAGCTTCCGCTTCCGCCTGTGCCACTTTCATTTTCTGGTATTCCTGGTAGTAGTATGGGTTGTAGACTGGGGTTGATATAACTTGGTGTAGCTGGCTGATATTCGGCGGTAGAATTCATGTGGGAGGGATTTGACGGGGTATTTTGGGCATGTGACACGGCAGGGTGTTGGAGGTCCTACACAAGCCCTATCACACGTAACACCCACACACACATTAGTTGCCGCTAGCAGGGTGCTGTTGAGAGGTGTTGACAATATTCTGTTGAGTGGTGCTCTTGAGAAGTTGAACGATCAGAATATATTGACGGCGTGGCTAGCATGGACGAAGAATGCTTGGGTGGGATAAGGAGGGTTGGCTCTGAGGTATGTTTGACTGAGCTCATGGTGTTGACGTTCTACTAGACTGCGGAAACGTTTTGTTGACGAAACAGCTGTCTCAGGTGGGCTGAAGGTGAGGACATTACTGTGGGACTCAGGGAAGCTAAATTAAAGCGAGGAGGCCCATGGCTTGAATTATAAGAATGTGATGTTAAGGATGAGCCAGCAGGTCCAGTCATCAGCCTCTGGGAATTGGCACAAGGAGTGGTAATGCTGGAAGAGAGAGTAGTTTGTTCAAGGAATAGCGAAAACTGTGTCAGCAATAAGAATTGGAAGGACAACAACATGGCACCACAATGTTCTGTAGCCGCAGTACTTGATTGTTGCAGTGAGGAAACAAATCAAGTTAGTCGCAAAGCATGACGGTCATGGAGCTCGAATAGGAGAACCAAAAATGATCCCATGTAGCAATCACGAAAAGTAAAATCTTTCTTGAAGTCAATGAGGAGGATTAGGTATCTTGTCGCATAAATTCTATTAGATGTGGACGAACCGCTGTGTGGGCTGTGCGGCAAAGACCTCATGTACGTAGCGGCTCATTTGCAGCACAAGTAAGCAGGGTTGAAAATGTTGAGATAAATGGGGAGTGGGCTTTTCGCCATCACTACAATGCTGATTGTAAAGTGAGGGATGTAGAGCATTCGCCAGTCCACAAGCGAAATATTTGGGAGTGTTAATCCTGATACTTTGCGTGTTAAAGAAGTGATATAAAATTTGTGGTGTCTTATGGGTAGCTATCGGATCTATGTCGATTCCATTAGAAATAGTATTAGGAACGATCTCCTTCACATGATCATGCATTTTATCTCTCGAAAGTTCGTACATACTTCTGAAACTGCAGAACCAACAATCCCAACACAGGAATTATTTCCTCGCATGAAACTGGTTGTTGAAACTGCTGAATGGTCGCTAGGAGGCAATTAGACTGATATTTATGTCCATCGATCTTCCACGACCTGGGGTGTGGCCGTAACAAGTTCCGGCTATTGTTGAAATATTAGATGGCAGTTGTGGGAAAGATCGAGGAGTTGACACACACACCAAAAAAAAAAAGGAGAAGAAGAAAAGAAGAGAGAGAAAGACAAAAATGAAGACCTCACTCACAATTTCCAGTTCACCTAGTTGGCGAATTTGCTCAGGTTCTTGGATTTGAGTAGTTTCATTTTCTCCATCAATTTCATTTCCAAGTCTTCATCTTCACTAGGCCATCCTTCACCTAGGGATTGGGCTGTCGTTTTTGAACCGGGTTTCCAACTTCGTTTATGTGTTTCCAAAGGGGATGGATTAGATACTGCGAGGCTTGTTCTTGTGGGACGTCTAAGTGGTTGTATTAGCATGTAGGCAGCTGAGGCATATATGTGCGGTGCGCTAGTCCGTGATAGGCAGCCTAGGGCCAACAGTTCTGTATGCATGCAGTGTGTGGGTCACGTGTGTTAGGGCTTTGTAAAAGGGTTGTATTGTTGGCCCTAGGCTGCCTATCACGGACTAGCGCACCGCACATATATGCCTCAGCCGCCTACATGCTAATACAACCACTTAGACGCCCCACATGTATTAGGCCACTAGAGCAAAAGAGCTCTGTCAGAGATAATATCTTGTATCAAGAATCTTGTAACATCTTACTATCAAGGATCTTGTACTGCCTAGTTATCATGTAATTATCGGAGTTAGCTAGAATAATCAATTCGATTTATCTATCGATTATTATGATCTATCTAGCAGCTAGCGGCAACTAATATATGTGGTTAATCTCCTCATTGTGTTGCTAAATATAGGGGTAATCACGTGTGGTGGAGTGGCCCTGGGCTTGGCCCTAGGCTGCCTATTACAGACGAGCGCACCGCACATATATGCCTCAGCTGCCTACATGCTAATAGAGCCACTTACATACGCCGTAGACGTCCCATAACAAGATGCCCAGTTTCAAGACACGATAAATCGCTGTGAGATTAATAGTATTTTGTGAAATAAAATGTGTTGATGATGGGGACTTCATTGATCGATACGGTGCGGCGCGTATTAGAATGGCCAAATATAAATAGATGAAATTCTCAACTTTTGCTCACTTTTCCATTGGAGCCGAATAATGCATCCTTGCGCAAATAGGACTGCAGTAACAATCAGCTCACAGCTAAGAACGGCCCTATTTCAGGGAACCACAGCAAGGGCAGTGGGAACAGGTTCTTGTTGAAGGCAGTTTTGGAAATCCGTGTCATCCCTGAAGTGCGAGCCATTCGCACGCCGCCTCTTTTGGGATCAGAGACACAGAATCCCCAAGTGTTCGGATTCGTGATTATGACAAATATTAATTGATGCCATTTAATGACAGCAATGCTGCCCACATCCACTTCCTTGAACACTGGCTAGCTCTGCTGCCTCAAACTTTCCAACTTCAGCACCATCATGTGGCACTTCAGAACTGGATAGTTCCAAATGGAGATTAACATTTCTAGGAATTTTGTCGCAAAAGTATTAGTGGATGGATATGATTTATTTAATTGGCATTTCTATGTGTACATGCTCTTGGCGCAGTGGAAGCAGAGATTGTAAGATTCAGTGACAGATATGTTCTAAACAAAGAGACATGGGGATGAACTTCTATTGCCTTTCATGACCAATGTTGTATGATCACTTCCGGGTAAAGTGAACGTCGAGGCAGATTGACGAACTGGGGTTGTAGAAAGAGTCATCCTGGTGGTATTTACTGTAGTTCGTGTAAATGGCCCAAGGTCTACAGATCAGCTGGACTGACCGTGCTATGAACATGGTAGGCATGGCTTTGAAGCTCCATTTTGCTCTTGAGGACCATGTCACAGCGCGGGCAACTGATCTTGTCTCCAGGCTTGATGTGCTGCAGATGTCTCCGTCCGAGGTGCTTGGTCACCCCACCATGAGTTGAGAATTTTTCCAGACAGATGAAGCAGTAGAGTGGCCGACGGTCCTTCATCACGGCCCCCGTTGCGATCTCCCGCTGGCTGGGAGGTGGAGGAACGTGCACCTCTACCCTGACCCTCTGAAGCGCGAGGGGAGTAGGTCTCTTGTCATGCGGCAGTCGGCAGGTATCCCCCTCCTCAAAGAGGCAGTATGCCGCAACCGCGTTGATCCCCTCAGTGCGTCGAAGCATCTCGTCCCGCAGCGTCTCGCAGGGTAGCGTGAGAAGCGCCGTGATCAATCGCAGCTGCGGCGCGGGGACAGTCTCATTTGCATTCAAGCACCCATGGAATGTCTTTGCGACCTCGATCCCGGACAGCTGTCGCTTGATCTCGCGCAGGGGCTCCTCAAAGTCGAATTTTTCCTGCACATCACGTAGGAGTGTGTCTCTGGCCCGCTGGCGTGCGCCCGCCAGCTCACGGCTGATCTTTTTGTGGAACTCATACAAAACAGTCCCCTTGTGCTTCTTGAGGGGTCGCCCAAGGCGTCCGCTGAGCCGATCCCGTTGCTGGATGAGCTTCTGGATGTGGGGTTGCTGGTTGACTGACTTCGACTGCTCTGTGGTCAGTTCCTGCGGCCGCCGCGGGTTGACGGAGCGGAGCATCCGGCACGCGGCGCGCATGATATGTTCCTGCGGGTCCAGACCCTGGACGATGGCGCGAACATCCTTATCCACCTTTCTATGGAGGTAGTATTTGAGGAACGTACGAGGATCTGAGTGCTGGAAGATCAGACTGCGGACCGCTTCACTGACATGCCCTGTGAAGACGATGAGTGACTCGGTGATCGCAAGCCAGGGTGATCAAAACTTACCGCTGTTATCTAACGCCTTGCCGGCGCCATATCGGAGGCTGTATGGACGGACGATGTCGCGGAATGCAGATAGCTCCCCGACCCGCCTGATCCACGGCCTGATGGTGCTGTATGTCAGAGCTTCAGTGGCTGATATCTCGACCCGTTCTAGCATCCGATCCGACTTCCGGAACACCGGGACCTCATTCAGGGCCGGGTCCAGGTGGAGCTCAATCTGATAGGTGTCTTCTGGTATCTTCAGGTCGATGAGCTGTCGCGCCGAGGTGAGAACTATCTCTCCATCAAGAGCGGCGAATGCGCGATCGGCAAACAGAAGGCCCAGGAGAATGACATGTGGGCTGAGGATGAGAGACGGGTCGAAGATAATCTCCGGCACTATGAATGTGGTCCTGAATTCACAGGCGGTCAGCCTCAGTTCACCAGAATGGGTCAGACTGGATGCATCCACGTACTCCTCTTTCTCACCGAGGAAAGTTTTGGCGAATTCAACAGTAAACTCAATCAGGATGTTATTGGGCCCGCTGTCGGGGTCCTTCAAAAGGGTGAGCTTGATGTGCCGGTAGCAGAGATTCAGCAACGCCTGCGGTCGATTGGCCGAGAACCCGGCCAGCTGGAAGAATAGGCAGAGCAGGATCCGCTGCCGGCCGTGGCCGAACTTCTTCTTGGTGGTGGTGACGGTCGTCTCGACAACCTTGACAAGATCATCCAGATAGACAACTGACTTCTTCCGGTGCCCCTTCTTGAGATGATACAGCTTTGCCAGTTTTGGGATCACCTTGAATGCAAGTGCGCCCCGGATCAGTACCGCGGAATGATTCAGCCACCGGACCACGCCTGTTCAGGAGCCAAGGTGGTTACATGGGAAGTGGGTAGGGGTAGTTGCATACATTCTTGATCACCCGCAGAGATGTCTCTCGGTCTATCTTCTCCTGCATCTCCCTCTCATAGACTAGACGGAAGATCTTCCAATACGTGTCCAAGGAGCTCTGGAACTTGAGCCCCTGGCGGCGTCTCCCACCCTTTCCGCGACGTTGGTTCAGCACCCAGTTGAAGAACGTGTACAGCGTCCGTACGTCCATCCGCCGGTACATCTCCTTAGGTTCCTGCTTGACGAAGGCGCAGAATCTGCGTATGAGAACCTGTGAGAAAGAGATTTCCCAGCCCAGGGGGTGGGGCGCTCCAGACACTCACTTGAACCATTCTTGCTTGATACGGTCGAGCAGCTTCAGTGAGTTAGCCGCGTACTCATTGTATTGGAGTAGGGATCCGCTCGGCGCGGTCATCATTTCCATGTAATACTCTGGAGGGTTCTCATCGTCTGCCAGCAGACTGGTCAGATCGCCGGTCTCCTTCTTGCTGTCCTCACCACAATCAGCTGGATCCATCAGGTTGGTCTCTGTGCTGGATTTGGAGGCCGTGCCATCGCTCTCATAATCATAGTCGTCGTCATCGTCGTCGTCGTTGTTGTCCATGTCCATGTCCATCGTGTCCCACTCTGTGCCATCCTCGCGTGCGCGGTTGACGGGTGGCGGCACGCTGCGTCGACGCGCCATTCTTCGTCCCAAAGAGAAGAGGGAGGTGTTGGAGATGGATCGTGGGAGGAGCAGAGCGCTCGTTGTTTGTGGTGGGAGGGGGGTAAGGATGGTAAAGCGTGACTGAAGGCTTGGGGAGCAGCAAGGGGACGGGAAGAGAGGTTTGAACTGTGCGAGTGCACAGGTCACCCACCGGGGGGGAAGAGCCCATGGCTTTATAGTTCACTCCGAGAGGGCCATATCTGACCCGCGGTCCCAAAATGGGTGAAGAGCGAGGAGTGGTTGAGGGTGAAGATGCAAGCGCCCACAGGAATCCAAGGTTCATTCAGAGACCTCGATGCTGATAGGTGGGATTGGGCCACTCCGGCGGATGGCCATGCGTGGCGCGTGGCAGTATTGGATAATTGTTGGCCTAAAGCGGCCGTCGAGCTAGTCAACATCCGGCCTTCGACTCACCGTCGGAATGTTTAAAGTAGTTAAATTCATGCATATCTCAATATTCATACAGACAGTGATTGTAGACTTTTATTCAGTTGTCAAACTCATCAAATATACTCAGATGAATATTGCAATCATATTATAAATAATATATGATTATCTTTACTCTGCAAAAGTCAGAGTATTCACTATTGCTACAATCAGATAAATATCAAGATCAGAATAATATCAATTGCAGTGGAATTTGAAACTGTTGTCTGTAAATCTTGAAATCATAACTTTGTATAAACTGAAGAAGTATGATATTATCTAGAACTGATGAATAACTTTTATATTTGTCAAATATAGACTTCTGCTGCACAAGATCAGAGTTGATGATTTCAAAGTTTTTACATCAAAGAAAATATTCATGACAACACATTGAGATGACAATACAACTGCATTCTATTAAAAATAGATTAAGTAGATGATGATACATTTCTTAAGCAGATCAATCTCTCTTATTAATAAATCTATTTAACAGCTTAGTAACCACTGACTGTATAGCTGATGAGATGTAGAAATGAGAAGTTATATTACACACAGCTTTTGCAATATCATTGTATAATATAGATTTCACTTCATTCTTTGTGCAGTATTTCACCACATATTTCAGTACATCTTTCAAGAAAATGAAAGATGAGAGATTCTCATTTGCAAGTTAGTTAAGAGTGATTGTTAAAAAGAATACTTATAACAGCTGATCTGTTCACTTAGCAGCAAATATTTATTAAGATTTATATTATAAAGAATCATCTGAACTATCACAACATGCAATAGCAGATATATTATATAAGAGATATAGATAGTAAAATCTGCAGTAAATCTCACAAGTTCATTTATTTCTGCAAAGACAGTATGTATCAGAATGTTGTATATATCTTTCAAAATGATTGATCAGAGTCATACAATAGTCTCTGAAGTTCATCTATAAGAGTGTTAGTATTGATTCAATAGTATTGATTTGAGAGACTCTGTGAGAGACTTCATCAGAAATATATATATTTATATCTGTTGATAGAATAGCAAAGAAGACAGATGTCTTTGATCTGAGAAACAGATTGAATCAGAGTTAACTGCAGTGATTTCAAGATCTCAGAAAGTTACAATAGTCTGATGAGTGATAATTAATGATATATCAGCAACAGAGATATTATGTGATCAGATGAAATTATGAATATAGTCATTGTCTCTGCTCTGCCACTCAAATTAAAATCAGTAATCAACTATATTAAACTTTGATATTAGCATTTACTGAATAAAAAGACAGAAGCAGTAAGTTAAATAATAAACAACAATGTGAGAATTGTTCTGAATATTGCTATATATAATTATCATCCACTGTCTGTCATCAGTAGTCTGATAATATTTATGAAATCTAGATAAATAAATTTATAGATCATACCACTGATGATCTGCAGCACTAAGAGTGAGAAATAGATTGTTCATTGAAAGTCAGTATATAATACTCTTAAGTTCATATCACCACTTGTTTCAGTATGATTGCATGTTTTTGATTAATGACTCAGATCTCACTATTCATTGAAGAAGAGATGAATGATTGATATCAAGTATTGTCTTCTGAATATCATCAATAGTCAGATTGCAACTGTCTCTGTTTTTGATAATATACCACTTCACAGTGCAAAATACTTGCTCATACAGTATCTGATTAAATACTATATAGTAAAATTGTGAATGTCTAGCAAAACATTCATTCAAATATCACATCAGATGACAAGCTCACTGAGTGAGTGTTACTAGACACTCACATTTATTTACAAAATCAGCTTTCATCTGTGGAAATAGAGTGAAGAATACCATTGAATACATTCACTCTCATGAATTAAAATTGATAAGTGGTGTGTGATAAACAGAGGGTATAATCAAATGATTATCAGTAATTGCATTGATATAACTTGCAAGCAGTGTGCATTCATCAGTGTCTGCTAGAAGATTTGAAACAAAAGATGTAATATCAAAAACATTATCATTATATTATTCTGATTAAGTGAGTGGTTCTGATTGTAAATCTGTAGCTGATTCATAATCAGATGATTCAGTATCCTCATATGTGAAAGAGAGTTGATCACTTATATCTACATTATAGAAGAGAAATGCCACCATATTCTCATCAATTTCAATATAGTAATAGTTGAAGTGGTGGGTGAAAAAGTAGTGAAGCTATATCAGCATATTGTATCTTCTCACTCACAGATCAGTAATATATCAAATATTTGTTTCAGAGATCTGATTATATCTATATAGTTTGAATATCAGCATATCAAGTGACTGAGAAAATCTTGAAAGTTTATCAACCACAGTCATTGTATTTTATATAAAGCATATTATATGTTCTGAATATCAGTACTGAAGTTTATAAACTCATCTTATCTGTATATACAAGCTATACCATGCAATCAGCATCTTCTCTGCCACTGTTAACTCAGATAGATGTTGTGGAACTCTGTCAGAGTTCATATCATTATCATCACTGTATAAATCTGATGCATCTGATTCAGCATGATCATCTTGTTGTCACTGTTTCAGTTGACATCAGTCTCACACACATCTATCACACATCTTGATCAATGTGAGTTTCATTTGAAACCAGGTTTCCTTGCACACTGTGCAGGTTTCCATCTTCTCATTCTTGAGTACTCTGTGAAAATTACAAATATACTGTCAGTCATCATGTGATATAACTGAATTCAGTTGATGTGGCTTATTTTGCTGCTCATTCAACTCAATATCATCATTATATATAAACTCAGATAAAAGTGTTGAATTCTTCAACTATAGAAAGAAGATTAATCAAGTATTATTCTGTGAATCTGATGATGATGTATATGAGAATTGATAGAAAGAGACTGCTGCTGAGGAATATTTATCTGATGTATATTTACTTTCAGAACCACTCAATCAAAAAGATAACAATATATAGACAGATTTGATGTGTATATTGTCTGATATATGAGAATTGTATATCTGCAAAGAAGATTCTGAGTAATAGTGATGCAAGGAATGTGAAGATGATTGAAGAGATAAAGATGATACAGAGTAATAATTCTGCTGATTGAATATATACTGTGAGAGAATAATATTGGAATTCAAAGAACTCTGATGTAGATATATCAGTTAGATTATAAAAGTCTCTCTCAGTAAGAAGATAGAAAAGAAATTACTGACTGTTGACACACTTAATGATGAGAATAATATTGTAGATATGAGAATAGTTGAGTATTCAACAGCAGTAATCTTAAAAATCATCAGCAATGTCATTGACAATTATTTATGAAGCATTCATACTGTTATATAGAGAATAAGTATCATCAATTTCTGTGACTTCAATTGAAGAGGACTCTTTGAAACAGCTGATGATCATTTTTTTGATGATGATTTTAAAGATTGATTCAAATTGATATGTTGACAGCAGAGAGAATAAATGAAGTATATTTTTGATGAACTATCATTGTTTGTAATAATAAGTGAAGGGAGAGGTTTTTTACAGTAAGAACACTTGCTTCATTTGCAATAATTTGAACAGATAGAGTAGAAATCAGTGAAATCAGTATTCTTTATAAAGCATACATGAGGAAATGATCAATAACAATAAGAACACTCTATGTTTAAATGTAACAATGATAAATAATAATGCAAAGTTGAAATAGAGAAGTTGAATCAAGAAGAAGAATGGAATGATGAAACAATATTCAGAGATAAAATCAAAACACCACATTCAATTATGGATTAGTGTTAGATATTCAATTCAATAATGAATCAGTATTTGAAAAAGTTAAATCTTCACTGCAGATTTAAAAGTGGGAATTTTGAGTATTTTAATCAATCAGAGAATCAGAAATATATTCTGCATCAATAATATCAATAACATTTGAGCCATTATTTTGTAATACTGTATATTCAATCATTTCAGCCACACAATGAAGCAACTTTTGACACCCTCAGAACTTTGTAAGATTCTTATAGACTTTGCTTTACTCTGTCTAATAAACACTTAGCTGATAGAGAAGTATAAGCTTCAGTATATCTCTTTCTTTAAATTATATAAACTGAGTGAATTCAATGGCTCTAGAGAATCTGCCTTCTACAATATAGTAAGATTCAATATTGATATAGAAGAATACAAAAAGAAGAGTGTTTTTGTATATGAAGTACAGAATCTTGAGTATAATTTAATACTCAGTCTGTTATAACTTACAGAATTTAAAATCTTATTAGATATATATAATCATTGTCTTATTTTTTCAGAAGACAACTGTGTCTATAAAAAGAATGTTGATAGAACTACTGATTTCATTTAGATATCAGTGAAAACATTCAAGTTGTTAATTTATTAAATATATAAGAAGAAGAATATTCAGATGTTTGCTGCTAGCATAACAGATATCAAGAAGATGTTAGAAAAATTAGAGCTCAAGAATTTCAAAAAGCTCTGCAAAAAACTTCTCAAAATATACAAGAATTTCACAGATGTATTTGATGAAAAAGCAGCTGAGATACTTCTCTCTCACTGAAAGTGCAGT